CCTGAGAGTAAAAAGTGTAAGAAACACTGATCTAGAGCACCCGAAACAGACACTTATCTCTAGATCCATTAGCGGTAGTTATATAAACTTGAGTTTCTGATGTCTGTGAGATAGATAGATAGATAGATAGATAGATAGATAGATAGATAGATAGATAGATAGATAGATAGATAGATAGATATGGATGCACGCGCGCGTGCACACACACACTTGTTGGAATCAACTGTTGATTGGGTGCAGAGATCGGCGTCTTTTTTTTATCTCGAGATTTATGCTGTCGGTCGCTCTATGCTTTTTTACTTCTCTATCTCTAGTTCGAACCTTAACGCTGGGGCGCCGAAGTACCTGGTTGCTAGGCAGGGTGGGCGGGTTGCCTTAGCAACGCCAGCTGTTCAGGGAGAGCGCTGGGTCCTTTCCAAGCCCTTGAGGGAAGCTCTGGTCAGATCCAGCCCCCCCTATTCGTTTCTGCAGGGCTGCTTATGCCTCCCCGTTACTTCTCGGTGCCCAGGGGTCATAGCCGTTTTTAAAAACAATTCCTAGGGCTGAGTTATGGTAATTGGCTGGATATTTGGTTTTCCAGGATTGCACAGTGGATAAGACGAATCTGCTAGGTTATCCCAGGCAGTGCACCACCCGCTTAGGTTCTGAAGGATGCTCAGATACTGAGGTCAGCTGGAGGGTTTTTGCCTCTAATTCTGAGATGAAAAAGCTATAGCCCATTTCCTTTCAGATATATAGTTGTTAAATTAGACAGTATGGTACCGCATCTCTTTCTGGCTCAGTTTGTGAATATCTAGAGGATATCAATATCTGAGTGTGCCCTGTAGGTCTTGACTAAATTGCATTATTGGTCTCTGGCCATTTGCCATTTGAATGGTGAGAAAACCAAGCACCATCAAAATATCAAGTTGCGCATTATATTGTGACCAGTCTTTGCATGCAGATTTCCCCCCCTAAATATTACAACAGAGTGTTACAACTCCTTGCTTTCTGGCAGGAGATAAATCTTGGCTCATTTTAGGGGACTAGGACTAAAATCCTTCAAAAACATTTTTAGGGGGCAAGGACTTCAAACATTTTCAAAATGCTTTATACCACAGAGTTGCATTCCTATACTGGATCAAGTGCAAATATATGCAGGTATGTGATTATTTAACACGTGAGAGAGAATAAAAACTGGGAAATAAAGCGTACTGGAAGAACTCCTCAGAACCAGCAGGAGAATTAAAATTCTGCCAAAGCCAGAAAAACTGCCTGCACATGTAAGTGGTTGAGAAGTTGGCTTTGGTTACCAAAACAAAGCTTTATCCTTAATACAGGGCCTACAAGTTTGAATAGAGTTGCTTAAAATAACGGAGGGACTTCAACATTTCTATATACAGCTTTTTCCTCCAAGAACAACTGTTCTAGATACAAATCCCCGATTCACAAAGGCTGATTCATACAAGATGTGAAATCATAATGTGGTTTGCTTGCTTATGACTTAGCTTACTGTGTAAACCAACAATTGTGGTTGGTAAATCTTGGCTTATATGTCAGCATGTTGTATGAACCTAGCTTCTTGTGGCTTATTGAATAAAACATGATTAAGCAAATCATGGCTTGGCATCTCATGTAAACCAAGTCATACCCTAGAACAGTGGTGCTGTTTGTCAGCCTGGGTTAAAAGAAACTGCAATGGTAAAAATCTCTTCTAACATGCAATGGTGTTTAGTGAAAGCCATAATGACATCATACACAAATGGCAGAAATTATGCACTGGCCTAATTTGCCTAAGTTACAGCATGGCCTCATGTCGCAAAGGACACACAGTGCATAATTTGTATGATGATGTCATATTGTATGAGATGTCACTTGCCTTTCTGCCCTCTCTCCCAAATGCTCATGATAACACGACGTCAGGCCATTGCTCTGTTCAAGATTGATATTGTCTTGGGTATAGTGACTGAGGGATGGTGTAAATTATAATCCAACCAGGGGTGTTCACAGAGTAGAGTCAAAAAAATCAAGATGGTGACCACAATGGTGCAGTTGAAGCTCCACCTGTGTTTTATGTGCATCCTATCTAAAAATCAGGTAGAGCTTCAGTCCCATCACTGTGGTTGTCATCTTGACCCTTTTTACCACACCCTGCAGGCACTCCTAAATCCAACCCAACAGGAGTTACACACAGATGTTTTCAGACAGGAACAACTGCCTTTGATACATGCATACATGCACATCTTATAACCATGATAGATACACAAATCACCTGAGCTACAATTACTTCCTTTCCTTTTCTTTATTTTAAAAATATTATGATGGTCTTTTTTGATAGTCTGGAGTAGGAGGCAATCCCAATCATTTTATTAATCTAAACCATCATCTGTTTGTGGCATAGGAGAGAGATGAATCCAGCATGCACTGCATTGAGTGCACGCAGCTCATACTTCAGACAATATGATAAACGGACAAGAAACGTGTTCACCAGTCCTTATTAGTCTAGGGAGAAAATCCTGACCCTCTTGCGGGAACAAGTGCAGAGGTACTTGGTGCCAACATGTCTATTCCAAAAAATGGTTATCACCAGTTAAATCTTATTTAGTTAGTCCTAGATCTTAATTAGTTTTTTCCATAACAATTGGATTATGAATAAAACAATAGTTTCAGAAAGGCAGAAAAAAGCATATTTACTTTCTTTAGTTTATGGATTTATGATGCCTCCTAGAATAGGCATTTCCTTCTGTGAGAAGTGAGGGAGAATCACCCTTCTAACATGAGACCATCTACAATTGTCTGTATCATTTCATCAGTCTGCGGGAGGCTGAGGTACAATTTTGTAAGTGTATACATAGATGCCTACAATGGCTGATGGAAAATGGACAGACCTATGTATGTTGCAGAGTGACGTGGGAAAACTGAACATTACAGACTCCCAGGACAAACACCTCCCAGTACAAACCCTAACACATTATATTGTGTGTAAATTAATGTAACTAATTCGAGATTTTTTCAAATCTCGGAAAAGGTCATTTGGGATTTTATTTCCATGTGTTGGGGTTTGCACTAGGAGTGTGTGATGCTCACCTCAAAATATTTTCAGAGCATCTGTGGAATGCAGAACTTCCATAAAGTTTATAAGTGAACCATGGACTTTTTCAAAAGGCTAAAAAAAAAAGAGTAATACAGTGTCCCTGCATTCACAGATACAAGAAACCAAATGTTCTAAACGAGGAGGAAGAAGAAAGATCACAGTGTCCGTTCGGCCAAAATAAACATCCAGATAAAATAAACTTCCCGTCAAAGGTGTTATGCCTTCCTTAAAACAAATGAAGCATTTTCAAAATATTCATTTATAACTGCTGGTCACTGAGTAGTATGGTATGGACTATATTTATTGGATTAGAAGTCCAATCCTATACATACTTATTCTGAAGTACATTCCTGTGTACTGAATAGAATTTATTAAGTAGTCTTATGATTCAGTAGGACTTAAAGGAAGCTTATGATTTTGTACACTTCTGATATAAGCTTAGCTGAAGATAGTGGAATTACTTGTACGTAAGCATAGGTTTGGACTGAAAATGTACTCAGGATTGCAAGCTTTCCTAGGAAAGGTTCAAGGTTAAAAGAAAGATACTACTGGGTTTTAGTACAGGATTAGACTGGGTTCACATGATGCTATGCTGTGGTTTCTTTTATTAGTGATTTGTGGAATAAGCCACATTCTTCTCCTGACAGTTTTCTTTCTTTTGGATAGAAGCTTGCATCAGGATCTCAAGATCTCAAGATAAAAGAAGAAATGTCAACGGCAGGGTGAAGATGACAACCATTAATCAAAGGAACTGGGAGAACATATTGCAAACAGGTTTTTGCAGTTTTGATTAATATTGCCTATTGTTATGAATGTTGCCTATTGTTATTATGAGACATTTGAAAGAAAGGAAGTGACAAGTTAGAAGGATCTCTCCTTTCCCACAACTGTGAGCAGTTGTGATCAGTAGGAAGCTCTTGGTGTCCTTGGTAGACATCTAAGAGATTGGAAGCCAGTCAGTGAAAACTCTTGACTCCATGGGCCAGGTGGGAGTGGAAATGATGAAATGTGCACTGTGATGTCTTACATGCAATATCCCCATGCTGCATGAAATTGTGGAGCTTGCATCAATGTTTTGTCAATTTGGCATCACTGTGGGGAGGAACAGACCCCTAGGCCTGACTCCCAATGGTTTAAGGTTGCAGTAATAAAATGGATGCCTTCCCCATTATATGCTTAAATAAAGATAGGGGTAATTTTTGAAAATTACCTTTGAATCTGTCCATTGAATTCAATATTCTTTAAATGTACATTAATGTTTGGGGGGGGGGTTATTTTATTGCTTTCATACCAAACAGAAAGGGGGAAAGGAAAAAGAAAGACATGAAACAAATATGGAAAAAGGAAGCAACAAAAATTATTTAGTCTATTTTTTTACAACACATCAAATCTTGATCCCACAGAATATTGATCATTTTTTCCTTTATATTGATAGACAGCCAACTCATCAACAGAAAGCAAACACACATTAGTGATCCAAGATCATAAATCTGAGATCACATGTTCCTTCTCAAATTGAAAAATAATCTTTTTTGCTGCCCCCATGCTGAACAAATCTGTAATTCTTCATATAGTAAAAAGTCCCACATTTTTGGTATATTGTTCAAAAGTATATTAATCTTTTTCAACTATACCGATCTTTGTAATACCATATTAACAAACCTATGAATATCAAATCAAAAAGGCAGCAGTGAGACAATTCCATGTTATATGAATAACCTCACACCTATTTTACACTTCCAGAATAATACAGCCAACACTTTAAAAACTTTTTTGTAGTGTCCAGTCAGCATGAAAAGGAACCTTTTATTGAATTAGTCTCACCCTAATAGCATAAGAAACATTTAACATTTCCGAATTTATGCCTTTTCTGCCTTTTTAGTTATTAGGTCTTGGGGTTCTAGTGAAAAGCAAAAAAACATCTTGCGATGTTTCCTATCTTACATTATCCTAGCCTCAAAAGAAATGCTGCTGTGAATTGTGCTAACAGTAACTCAGGCCGTGTGAAATAATCCAACTAAGTGCCAGCAGTTTGAATTGTTCAGCAAGATATAATCCTTCCATTTATATACTTTTCAATCATATTTGATGTTGTGCAACGTTGTTTTTCCAATTGTCCTTAAAAAGTTGTGAAATTTGCACTTTCCCTAATGGCCAAAGGATCTCAAGGAAGAACTTCTGTTTAATTGCAAGATAATGCAGTCGAGAACGTGGTTACTGTGTTTGATGCTATAAAAGTAAGGCAAAGTTGCTACAATATTTGCAAAAGAAGTGACCTTGTTTCTCTCGAGGAAACACTATTAGGACAGTGTTGTCCAAACTTGGCCACTTTAAGATGAGTGGACTTCAACTCCCAGAAT